CACACTCAGACACGCCGGCGCGCGGGTATCGCTCACACTGGGACACGCCTGTATCGCTCACACTGGGACACGCTGGCGCGCGGGTATCGCTCACACTGGGACACGCCAGTATCGCTCACACTGGGGCACGCCGGCGCGCGGGTATCGCTCACACTGGGACACGCCAGTATCGCTCACACTGGGACACGCCGGCGCGCGGGTATCGCTCACACTGAGACACTCTGATGCACTGGTGTCACTCACACTCAGACACGCCAGTGCGCCGGTATCGCTCACAGACTGTTAATGAACATCCACATGGACACTCTGGTGCACCTACACTGACATACTCACAGCATCCCTCTGGTGCTGCAGTCTTCTCCTTCTCCTCATACGTGGGGCTTGCAGCTTCAGGCGGCTCCCTGTCAGGCTGTGCAGCGCGGACGTGTCCTGCTCACAAGCCTGCTGGTTGGTGATCCAGCGTCGGTCCCCTCTGTGTCTTTCAGGACATCAATAAACGCCTGTCTCTCCCAGCGGATATCCGGCTGCCGGACGGGTACCTGGAGAAGTTCTCCCTGAACAGCCCTCCTTTCGACAAGCCCCTGAGCCGCCGGCTGAGGAGGGTCTCTCTGGTGCAGTGCCCTCCCCGAGTCCACTTCCCTCTCTCCCCCTTCCTCTGTCACACCGCCTGGTCTGAGGCCTAGTACAGTGCAGGAGGCTCAGGACATTTTACACAAGCATTTGTGTTAGGAAGAAGCATGCAAGCCAGGGTACTGGTAAATGGGTTGTTTTGTTAAGACATACAAACTCCCCCTTTTTCCAGAGCAAACAGGCCTCTCCGGATAACTCTTGAAACAGTGAATTTGTGATAAATGGATTGTTGTAAAAATTGCTGCATCAGCTAAGTTTACAGATAGTCAGTCTCATGTACTGGAAACCCACCTACACCATTACACTAAGCCAAACACACAGTATGGTGAGACTTCAGTTGACTCAGATTGCTTGAATTGGAGTTAAGGAACGTTCGGTTTTCTTTTTGGCCATCTCTGTTGACTGAGCTTAATTTATATTTTAAAATGTAATTCATTTAAGAATTACTGAGAAACAACTTCCTATTTACAGTGCTAGAATGGGGAGCACCCATTCACTTGCACAGCTGGATAATTTACTGGAGCAAAGTGTAGTACAGTACCTTGCTTGGTACAACAGCTGTGCCCCACTTGAGTTTTGAACCTGTGACCATGATCAAAGGTCTGATGCTCTACTGGCTGAGCTGACCACTCATTTTAGACTCAAAGTTTGAGTGTCTAAACCTGATGGGCCTGCAAGCCTGTTAAGGGAGTCAGTTAAGAGATCATGGGCAGAAATAGATGCAGACTCACTCCTGGCATTGTGACAGTACTGAAGTCAGACGCAGCTGTGACACTTTTATGATCATTAACAGCTGTATCACACTTATTTAATAGATCATTAAGGTAACCTGGAGCTGGTATAAGGGCTAGTCAGTGCCTTATACTAAGCTGAGCAGAAGAAGCTTAAAGCCCCCTCTAAATTTCACTATTCTAATAACAGTAATGATGTCTGTAGTTTTAACATGAAAGACTGATGTTCTCATATCCTGTTTGTTTCCTTCTGCAGTCTGAGATTGGTTTTGGGAAATTGGAGACCTATGTGAAGCTGGACAAACTGGGAGAGGT